TTACACTTTTTGCACCGGTGTTGCACTTTTTGCACTGGTGTTACACTTGAACTGCACTGCTCTCAGCCAATCAGAATCGAGTAATTTTTTTGTGTATATTATTAGTAACTTAATACTTATTTGTCTAGTAACAATAGGTCTACAATAAACCACTTTTAATAGAGCTGTTAACCTACATGCATGGACACAGTTAGTGACTCAACACTGTTTACAGAATGACTCTTTCTCTCAGTGTAATGAGCATGATTGTTACATAATCTGACAAAATTTAAGAATGATAATTATAATATTATTCCCTTCTGCAGACAAAGGATTATTTCCTCACTGGTGTGAAGGGTTCAACCCTGCAATCAGCCATAACATATCAGAGCATCTCTCCAAGCTTCACAAACATTCTGTGATTACCATGTCACCAGATGCCTTACTTAACATGAGAATTAAGGCCATTAAGAGAGTGCTGCGTAAACAGTAAGTAACAAAAGGAATGAGGGACAAAATATGCTACTTATGTGACTACTTCAACCAAGTGCATCAAACAAAATTCTGTGCAAATTTAATGAACGAGATTGTTGGATATTAACAATAGATTAACATCGAATTATCAATCTAAGCAATTGTAATGCTACAGAAACAAGAAATTTTTGACCACTTTTATTGTTTACAAATGTGCTAGTGCTATTGGTCTATATGCAAAGAATTTGTTTGGGTGGCCCTGGTGGGAGTAGTTGCACTGTAAGTAATCACTTGACAAGTTTGTTTTATTCTTCTTCCAGTTGTTAGCAACACTTCTCAAACATCCAAAATGTTCAACCGATTTAGATTGAACAAAGTTACAGTTATTATTTATACACTCTGGCCGGGTTGTTCGAAAGCTGGTTAATGCTAACCCAGGTTTAACCGAAGTATTGATTTTCCTTGTATTAAAAATGTTTTTCCACTGCTTATGTTTTTTTTAGTTTGAGATTATTTAAACTCAAAACCTGAAGGACAAACAATATGAACAGAAAACCTCACCGAAAAGTTACAAAACTGAAATCAAAATTCTCGCTAATCCTGGCTTAGCTTAATCGGGCTTTGAACAACCCGGCCCTGGGTGAAGAGAGGCACTGTGAGAGTGAAGTGTTTTTCTCAAGAACACAGCAAAGTGACCCTGATAAAGGCTCTGTTCTCGGCTGCTCAATCCAGAGTCCAGCAGACATCAACTTCCCAACTGAAGTGAGTCAATGAAAAATAATTTTGTGAGTTTCATTTTATTTTGACAGACCATTTGAAAGAAAATCGAAGGATAATGAAGTGATATTTAAGCACTTACAGTACTTCCCAGAACTGTCTGATCAAGTCCCAAGGCATGTACTCAAGGAGCTGTGTTCAGTCGCTCAGCTTGATAAATGTCCAGAGGAAGATTATGCAGGTCAGCCTTGTGTCTTGTTTTAACTTGCAGTATATAATATCTTTACTTTGCTCTTTGACAGCAGAATTTAATGCTGTCAATATTGAGTGCTTACAGTACAAGTGAATGGTACAGTACGAGTGATTTGAAAAGTGGGCGTCCAAAATGTGCTATAAGGTCTGCTCAAATGAAGAATTTGTAACTAAAGACAACATATGAAAAATAAAACAATTTTTTTTAATAAGTGGCTGTCCACAGGATGCCTGGATGCCCATCTGGCTAAAAACCTGATAGAAAATGGTGGCTTCACTTGTTTCAGTGGAAGAGGACATAGTTTGCTGGGCACCATTACATGGGAGTTGACTACTGCCAGCCTTCCACTGATTATAAAAAGTAGAACTTGCACAATGAGGAAAGAACATGAGAAAAAAAGTTCTCAACGTAATATTAAGTAATACTGAACTTTACTTTCACAAATCACCTGTGAACTGAATTGTCTTTTGAAACGCACTTGCAACTGTTTACACTCATAAGTTTATTGAATAATTTTGGGGTTTTAAAGTTGTCTAATGGCCAGCTTAATGCCTTTACTTAGTCTGCTTGGACATTGAATCATAAACTGAAGTAAAGTTTCCAAACCTTTATCCCAAACTTTAGAGAAATGAGAAATTATCTAAAGTATTCACCATCATGCGCTCAGCCTGCACGCTAATGACTGATAGTGTGTGATAGCTCAACCAATCAATGTGAGCTAAATTTGTTATTACTATTTTTGTATAGTAATAGCCTGAGCGAGGTCGGTATTGAGGTGAGTTGACTGTTCTCATGACCATAACTTTTTTTTTTTACAGTGTTTGGCAATACAGGACTTCACCTTATATTACGAGGAAGTGTCATGTCAGAATCATTGCGAGCAATCTCGCCCATAGATATTGACCCAGATGGAAGAGATTTCTTCTCTCCATCACCTATACTTGAAGAGGACAAACTAGAAACTGTAAAAGAACAAGTATGAAAATTAATGTTTGGTGCTTTTAGTACACTCACTCACTCAATCCTCTTTGTGCTCTTGGGCACATTGAAGGCCATTAATTTTTGTGGTTTATCAGTGATGTATCTTTCTTGCTCCCCTCTGAACGCCTGCCACGCAGGCCACGCGGGCTACATTCTAAATAAGTTCCATCTTTTCTTTCTGTAAATTGGTTTGATTTCTGATGTCTATGAAATGTGGCCCTGGTTATAGTGTTCACATTGTCATTCCTCAATGCTATATATTTCTGTTGAATTTATCATTTCAGCTCTCAGTTGGTCAGTGTTTTGGAACACTCAGCAAAGTTGAAGGAAAGGAACCCTATTCAGGGTGAGGTTTTGTGTCTCTTTATGAATTGATTCTTACAGGATAGCTTGTTGAATGTAACTATTCCACTCTTAGAACTAGTGCTACTGTAAATAGACTGTTCACAAAATTTTTAATAGTCAATTTTGATGGTTTAATTATTTATTATGTTGGTTTTTAGACTCCTTTCAGTTATTTCATTGGAGCCGTGTGAATTCTTGAAGATTTCCACCAGTGACTATGCACGAGTTATTCAGGTATTGTTTGGCAGTGATGCCATTCAATCTTCATATTTTATCCAAAACCTTCATTATGTGTTAATTCCTCTTCTCTCCTTTCAGTGTAACATGACTATACTGTATTACAATCCTCCTTCTAAACCTTAACCAATGAGGGAACAATAAATTAAAACGCAACAATGTTAGAGTTATTAAAGTTCCAGTTTTTTGAGGACAAAAGTAGTACCCTGCCTTTATATGACTTTCTCGTTTGAGTCTCGTTGTTACCACAACTTTCTCTTGACCGTAAGAAGAGCTTACAGTCAAACCAAGTGAAGCATACCCCTCAAGAGTACATTTTATTTAATGAAATGATTATTGGAATATTGAATCCACTAGTCGTTCCAAGAATGGCTAATGGGTTTAAATGTTCAAAAAATCAATTTAATATTTGATTTTTGAGATGACTGGCAGGTTCAATATTCAAATAATCAATTAATTAATGTATTTCTGAGGGGTACACTTCACTTGGTTTGACTGTAATTGTTTTCTTAGTCAATAGTTAACCCATTATTTCAATCCAGCCATTTTGTGACACGAATATGCCCTGATGATAGGCTAACGGTCAAAACGTCATCTTCACTAGCTTGCTTCGGCGGTTCATTTACCTTTATCAACTTCAAATCGATAAAAACTCAACGTTTCACTTGCCTGTCGATGCAGCCCAACAGTTTCTTTAGAAACTAGTTCTTTTGTTTATAGGACCTTATAGTATAAACTTCTGTGGAAATTTTCTAAAGATGGTTGGTAATTTTGTGTTTGATGTAGCTTGATAACTGAGAGTATTGACAATTTTACCTAACAGATCATTCAAGCTCGTGAGGAAGAGCAGAAACTGTCTTTGGCCAAGGTGTGTAAACTGTTCAGCAACTGGCCTCTGTTGTCGCTCAAGAAGATTGCTGGTCTCATTAAATGGAGGAAATTTCCACCTGGTCAAGGTAGTAAATTTTTGACGCAGTATCTAAAGATTAGGATCTGCTTGTAATTTATCACAGCTCTCATTTCCATGAACTGAGAGATACATAAATCATGGAAACACGACTTACATGTATATATGTGTACCACTGCACTCGTGACACCACTTTCGGCGGGAAAAAACTGGAAAAAGGAATGGCAAAGGAAAGGCGACATATTATGGCGGGAAAAACTTGACGGTGTGATGCAGCGGTCACTTGTTGGGAAGCACTGGGAGAGCGGATGGGGGATTGGACGGTGTACAAATACATACCAACTTAATTTGAGACAAATGATAAGAATTTCGAATCTGAAGAGTGCAAAATGACGAAATTGTTTAAAAATTAGATTACATTGCCACTGGCTTAGCACAATCCCGAAAAAATGTTCTAGTACACTTTTGACATTTTGTGGTGTTTTTAACAGTTCTTGTAAGTGAAGGTGAAAGATGTGAAGTGATAGGATTCATAAAGAAAGGAGAATGTCTTCTTCGGCGTTACATTGAAGTAGCGCACACCTTCCCAGATGGAAAGAAGGTTAGTGTCTCTATCTTTACATCTCATTTTGTCTAGTCTGTACAATTATCACATGCTTATAGATATTTATCAACAGTCTTTTGGTCTTTGTTGTTTTAGGAACAGCGTATTAAGTCTGTGATGATTGGCAGACTGTCTCCTGGCGATTCTNATCCCAACAGCAACCTTGCTCTTTCGCAAGGTTAGCTTAGTAACACAAACATAGCTGAAATATGTTAATATATTTCAATGGGATGTTAGTCTGTGATGTCCTTTAACGAATGAAGAGTTCGAGAACCCTTGGATCCTGCTGTTGCAGGTTCCATTGTTACCTTCCTAAGGTTGTAATGTTAAATAAAAGAGAGGATTTTCTGTTTGCAACTTCTTCTTCGTAGAACAAAGTTGTGAGCAACGTCTTATATCACAGAGGCATTCTTCCTGGTTACAGCAAGTGGAGTAGAAATCCTTCGCCTTTGGAAGTTCCTGATAAAAGACACTAAACAGTACAACATTGCGGGTGTTGCTAGGTCTGACCGTAAAACAACAGGTCCGGAGAAACCAAGCTCCAAAACCTTATCATAGGAAAGACTCCATCGGCGGCGAGAGATTGATTCTGAAACTTTTACGCGAAATTAATTTTGTCTTTGACAACTACAAGCTCGCTCATACAACAACAACGACAACAGACTGAAACACTTCTGACCGTGCACTGAAAATAATGTCATTGTAACTCCCCCATCTGATACACGCTTAGCACACTTGAACTGAGTTATGGATTTTTTACAGCTATACATTTTAGTTAGAATCATGTCTCGTTATTCGTCACAGTTGGCACATGCTACATACATTTCTACTGACAGAAATGACTGCGGAAAACTAAATTCTTGGAAGATTCTAGCATCGTAAAACTATGTAAAGAGAGTCATTCAACATGCATGTCATGAGCATGGGACAAAGAAAAAAACCGAGCCCCCGAAGGGAGCCGAACCCGAACAGATCCGGGCGGGACGGTCTAACCACTGAGTAGTACTGAATCGTTTTACCTACGCAAGTTTCCGCTAATTTTCGGACACATTATGGTCTTGCCTTGCACTTCTTGTTAGAATGTCGTCAGTGAGTAGAGACTGAGCAATTGGCAATTCAAACATTGAATTTACTACACCCCTGTTAAGCGACCACCTATTGAACGACCACCCCTATTAGACGGCCACTAGTCAAAGTCCCGATGAGAGCTTTTCTATTGTTTTTACCTCTATTAAATGGCCAGCCCCCTTTAAGCGGCCGCTATCCATTTCCCCGAGGGTGGCCGTTTAATGAGGGTTAAACTGTACTCCTTCCTTGCTCTCTCGCCGCTCAATTTAAACTTCCTTAATTTACACTCTCAAATTTTCTCTTGGGAAGTTGTCTTGCAAAATATATGTGTTCTAATACAGTACATAGGTATCACTGTAAATATTTGTAACATACCACCAGCCTTACAAAGGCTTGGAAATTAATGGAAAAAGGCGACGACCTTTGCAATGAATATTAATCAATATATGGCTTGGCAATCAAGTGGAAACAAAGCACTATATAACAAGCGTGAAATTTTTAAATTCTAAGAGTAAGGAATATTAAATGACAAATTTCCATGGGTCAAAAGACGACACCTTGTCGAAGGAATAAAACATAAGATATAAGGAAAATGCACATCCTGCCTATTCTGACAATTTATGAGGTTAAAAAAGTGTTACAGAAAAATAAGCCAATGCATGCGAGGCATTCCTTGATTGTGAAATAAAAAATAAAACAAAATTGTGAAGATTTATTGTAATTGATCTGTACTCTAGACCAGTCAAAAGAAAAATCAAAACCGGTTGTGACATGGTCATGTGTGTCCTTCCTCGCTTGGCATTATTTCGAGTTATTATAATTGGTATATTGTGTTACGTTCAAAGAGCCAATCAGAGCGAGGAGAGAATATGAAGACCCGGGGTGCTTACCATTTACAAAAACCATCCGGTTGGAAATTTCAGGCATAAACATTAAACAATTGAATGCCTCGTTGCGGGAGAAGGAATCGCTAT